TTATCTCAAGGTACCAAAGACTCAGCCTTATCTCAAGGTACCAAAGACTCAACCTTATCTCAAGGTACCAAAGACTCAACCTTATCTCAAGGTACCAAAGACTCAACCTTATCTCAAGGTACCAAAGACTCAACCTTATCTCAAGGTACCAACGGTGAAAAGGAAAACAAAAATCCTTCTGTGTTCAACAAGAAAAAAAGTAAACTCAAGGAGCGACGGGACCGCCTACGACGGTTCACCACCAGCGTCCTGCCGTCACAGCTGAAGGGCCTCGTGCAGCAGAGTTCCAGCACCGGTGATTCTCGCTCTCACCATCATATAACTGACGGTGTTGACGCAAGAGCAAGAAAAATGCAGCGTCTTAGTGATTTGCCAGACGAACCCGAGGCTCCTCAAGTGAACCGTACAAGATCTGACGTCAGCCATAGTAATAAAGTGAGTCAAGTAGAGCTTAATAACTGCACTGTTCCGGCCAGTTTGCACTCGGCCAACCCAGCACCCCCCAAACCCCCCAGGACATATATTAAGGAAGTGTCGACCACGCCATCAACATTTCGTCACTCTAGAAGCAACAGTGTGCCTGGTCAACCATTCGCCCAACAAATATTCAACTTGCAGGAGGATCTTGTGTCAAGTACCATCAAGAAGAAGCCTATGCCCGCCCCCAGATCGGTCTTCCCTACCTTCCTCACGCCCCTCAGCAGGAAGAGGTGTCCTAATTCCTCCACCCAGGTAAACACCGCTGTTAAAACCAGTGTTGAAGACGCTGCCATTCACTGCTCAACCCCTGTCACGTTGCCAAAGAACTCTGCTCAGTACTCGGGGCAGAAAAGTGAAGAAGTTAAAAGAGCAAGAAAACTGAATCTGAGGAGAGATTCAAATGGTAAACAAGTGTACTATTTCGACTCCTCCTTGGACGCCTCCTACACCAGTCACAAGTGTTATCTGACGTCCTCGGGGGCCCTGGACGACTCCTTCACGTCCTTCAGCGGCCCCGCGCAGGATCGGGAGGACATACCGTGGATCACCACACCGCCTCAGTGTAAATTGAAGCCTTCCCGATCCTTGTGTAACGTGAACCTTGGCGGAGCAGATCCACGGAGTACGTGGGCCGTCCTTCGCTCTCTTACGTCACACACCCACAACAAGGTGAGGCGGCGCATTACAGTTGTAGGGTAGACGCGTGTTACAGGGCCATGTACTGTAGTCTTATATTTACTACACTCGATGATAATAGGCAATTGGTTACAGAATATAAGTAGTGTTTCGTATGTCAACAACGTAGACTGGAGGCCTAAGCTTTAGAAATTGCTGATTAACTTTGTTGTTCATTGCTACATCATAGTCTTGTGTTTGTGTGTGTGTGTGTGTGTGTGTTATCTAGAAAGTAGTTTCATGTCGGCATCCTGAAGGTGACGCGAGTATTGAGGGAGAGGGAAGGTTATATGGACGTTGTATTTACTGTATAATGAGGTCAAGGGCGACATTATTGTGGCCAAACTTGAGTACCAGCAAGAAGTGTGGGGCGGAAAGGTCGGCGACCAGTACCTAATGCTATAGTGGGGGAGTGTAGTGTAGTGACCAGTACCTAATGCTATAGTGGGGGAGTGTAATGTAGTGACCAGTACCTAATGCTATAGTGGGGGAGTGTAGTGTAGTGACCAGTACCTAATGCTATAGTGGGGGAGTGTAATGTAGTGACCAGTACCTAATGCTATAGTGGGGGAGTGTAGTGTAGTGACCAGTACCTAATGCTATAGTGGGGGGGAGTGTAGTGTAGCGGGACCAGTACCTGGTGCTATAGTGTAGTGTGGCAGAAGCACTGCAACCTAATGCTATAGTGGGGAGGTAGTGTAGTGACTAGCACCTGTACACTATAGTGGAGGAGTGTAGTGAAGACCAGTACCTAATGCTATAGTGGGGAGTGTAGTGTAGTGTAGTGACCAGTACCCACGCTATAGTGGGGGAGTGTAGTGCAGTGACCAGTACCTAATGCTAGTGGGGAGTGGTGTGCAGGACCAGCACCTAATGCTATAGTGGGGGAGGTAGTGGTGTAGTGACCAGTACCCAATGCTATAGTGGGGAGTGTAGTGTAGTGACCAGCACCTAATGCTATAGTGGGGGAGTGTAGTGTAGTGACCTGCACCCAATGCTATAGTGGGGAGTGTAGTAGTGACCAGCACCTAATGCCATAGTGGGGAGTGTAGTGTAGTGACCAGTACCTAATGTGCTATAGTGGGGGAGTGTAGTGTAGTGACCAGTACCTAATGCTATAGTGGGGGAGTGTAGTGTAGTGACTAGTACCCCACTGCTATAGTGGGGGAGTGTAGTGTAGTGACCAGTACCTAATGCTATAGTGGGGGAGTGTAGTGTAGTGACCAGTACCTAATACTATAGTGGAGGAGTGTAGTGTAGTGTAGTGACCAGTACCTAATACTATAGTGGAGGAGTGTAGTGTAGTGTAGTGACCAGTACCTAATACTATAGTGGGGAGGTAGTGTAGTGTAGTGACCAGTACCTAATACTATAGTGGGGGAGTGTAGTGTAGTGTAGTGTCCAGTACCTAATACTATAGTGGGGGAGTGTAGTGTAGTGTCCAGTACCTAATACTATAGTGGAGGAGTGTAGTGTAGTGTAGTGACGATGTTGAGTGTTATGGGAAATCCTGTACAGTACAGGACGCTTCATCACAGGATGTGGTAAACTACCAACCATCTCAAGATGGTTAAGTCATGGTTCACGTTTGCTTGTGTTTGACCTGTAGTGATTATGATGCCTTGTAATGTGAATGGCAGTGACAAGTGTGACTCTTCAACGTTGTCAAAAGTCCAACGTGCAGCAGCCTTGTTGTTTAAGTCCGTCACAACCCTCACTGTACACTGCCTTTGTCTGTCTCCTTGACATACTTACTATATTGTTCAAACTATTACTCAACTTCCTGTAGAAAAGCATGAAATCTTGTGTCATTATTTTTATGGAGTAAATCAAAATGTGGTGCTGTACTGTATGACATAGTTATTATTAAGTCAGTAAATATAGTGCTGATATGGCCTATGGGGGCTGCCTACAGGTGATGATGTGGCTCTTGACCACAGTGTGACGCTGCCCCACGTACCCGGTTGGCAGCCTGGGTTCTCTATTTTTGTACTTCCGGTGTAGGATGTTACTCGTTGGTCTGTGTCGTGTGTACAGTACCGTCTTAATAAACAATATGTCCGATGAATATTGAACCCTGGTGAAGTAAACTGAAAGAGTAACTGTGACTATATCTGGCCAGTTGGTACTCCTGACTAGATACTAGCTTTGTGTGTGTGTGTGTGTGTGTGTGTGTGTGTGTGTGTGTGTGTGTTATCACTAATGAGCTAACTATATATTTTGTCTCCCCAGGTATGTGTCGTGTGCTTGGAGCCGTGGTGGCGGGGCTCAGGTCAGTGGTCTCATCTGGTTATTAATACCGTATGTTTTTCTTCTTCCCTGTGGTGATTTATTGGTCATGGAGTCACAGTGTGTTATGTAACTTCCGGCCTCGGTGGTTCCTTAAGTTCAGGACCAGAAGGAAGTAACTTTTGATTTCCCTCTGACTTAAAGACGTCAAGTATAGCTGTATTACTTGACGTGAGTTACCAAACAGTTATCATAATACGATATACAGTGACTTGAATTGAATTGAATTGAAACAGTTTATTTAGTCAGAAGAACACAGATACAGAGTGGATAATAATAACAATATTAACATGGCTGAGCCAGTTGAGAACCTGAGCTGCACCTGATATATACTGTACATTTATCTCAAGGAAGTATTATGTAATATTTAGTATCATCTGGAATAGTACAATAGCATGGTGGTAATAAGAACATGTTACCACGGTTGTCACTTCAATACTTATTTATTTTATTTATTTATTATTATTATTTATTTATATATACAGTGATGCGGGTCACCATTGGATGTCAACAAGAAAGAGGTTGACAAGTTTTTGATCATTGTTTTTGATCGTTGTTGATCATTGTGACTAGTAAACAATAATGGTGGGTCGTGAACCAGCTGTGGAGTGCTCGGGGAGGCCAGGGTGTCGTGTTCGGTGAGGCTGGAGAGGAGCTAACGTGTGACTGCTACCTGCACAACGCCGCGCCGTCAGTTGAAAGTAGCGTGGTTAGGTGGCGACTATTTAGTGTGGTAATGGTGTGTGTTGTGGTGTAGCCGCGTACATACACTGGTGACCAGTCTATATATTACACTAAACTTTACACGCCCGATACTTTAATTGTTAAAGCGCAGTAGATCAGAGCAACACACCAGCTTCACGTTCTGAGAGTCACACGGGAATGTTACCCCTCAATACTGATATAAGCTCGAGTCTTACTGCCTCAACGTTACCAGACACTGTGTTGAGTAGCCTGTAGTTTAGCGCCTCCAACGAGCTCACCTAATGCTGTTCAGGTCATAAGGACAGAATGGTCTTTGTGTCGCACTAGATTGGTTACGATAGGATAGGTTAAGTTAGAATAGGTTAGGATAGGTTGGGTGAGGTTAGGTTAGGATAGGTTGGGTTAGGTTAGGTTAGGTTGTAAGGGAGTTAATGACCACAGTCCAACATTATCAGGGCGGTAGGAACTATGACGCCGGGACACGATTTATTACGTGGCTTGTCATGTTGTGGTAGTGATGGTGTGGTAGTGGTGGTGTGGTAGTGGTGGTGTGGTGGTAGTGGTGGTGTGGTAGTGTGGTAGTGGTGGTGTGATAATGATGGTGTGTGGTAGTGGTGGTGTGTAGTGGTGGTGTGGTGGTGTAGTGGTGTGATAGTGGTGGGTGTGATAGTGGTGGTGTGGTAGTGTGGTAGTGGTGGTGTGATAATGGAGGGTGTGGTAGTGGTGGTGTGATAGTGGTAGTGGTGGTGGTGGTGTGGTAGGTGGTGTGATAGGTGGTGTGGCAGTGGTGGTGGATAGTGGTGGTGTGACAGTGGTAGTGTGTAGTATATAGTGTGGTAGTGGTTGTGTGGTAGTGGTGGTGATAGTGGTGGTGTGATAGTGGTAGTGTGGTGGTGGTGGTGTGGTAGTGGTGGTATGATAGTGGTTGTGTGATAGTGGTTGTGTGGTAGTGGTGGTGTGATAGTGGTGGTGTGGTAGTTGTGGTGTGGTAGTGGTAGTGTGGTTGTCCAACACTATAGTTATAAGGTGGTAGTGTGGTGGTGTGGTTGTTGCAGAAATATGGAGTAGCATTTGGGGATAAGGCTGTGGCGGAGGGCTGGCTGGCGTGCCCATTATTCCTACAGCACGTGTACCAGCCATTGGGCCTCCGACAAGTGAGTCACGAAGGATTCCCTGTAAGTCCAGTGTGTTGGGTGAGTCAGTGGTAGAGGCAGGAAATACGGGAGGTAGTGACGAGCTCGGCGGTGTTTGATTCACGGGGACTGTAGCCACACTGTTGCCCTGGACGCACTTCTTTGCCTTCACAGTACACACAGCGTCTCTGGCCACCAAGTCATATGTCCACATGGTCGCCGACTTTGTTGTTTGGTTGAGTGTGAGGTAACATAGTTTATATTGTTTGGTGTAGACGGATAGTGGGGTTGGATATTTTGTGTTGAAGGCGGTGGTGATGTTAGGTATTTGGCATCGTGCGCGTGGGTTGCCGGATACCAAAGGCGGGGGTCCTGGAACCTACCGCCCAGATGCATGAAACTCCCCCTACGGAAGTGAATTATTCCTCCTAGCTGTCGTTAGTTACCTCCTGGTAGTTTGTGCATTATAGTGGAGGTGCTGCTGCGGTAGTTCCTGTAGTGGGGAGCGAAGGTCGTGGGTGATGGTCAAAGTAAGAAGGAGGCGTGTCCGGATCCAGTGTCTTGAGC